CAAGAAGCCACTCAATTACATGCACAACTTCATGATGATAAGTCTAAGTGGGTTGAGCTTCAAGATATTGTGCTTGCTGCTGCTGAGCGTGAGTCTGCCTCCGAGGAATAAGTGAATAATTTGAAGGCAGCCTTGAGCTCCAAAATGGAGGAGGCTGAAGAGAAGAGGGACAGGATGGAGGAGAGATTTAAGAAGATCATGGAGCAAAACCGGATTCATCTATCTACAACTCATGATCTTGATACTAGCCTTAGTGCTATGAGATCCGAGAGGGACGGCCTTTAGGCCGAGGTTGACAGACTTAAGGCAAAGCTTCAGTACCGAGAGGATTCCCTCATATTTGAAAAGACATATGCTATGTACCATATGAGGAGAAAAACCTTGGAAGAGGCCAAAGCGGGCATCATCGATATTGATGATTTCATTGACAAGACCCGAGAGCTGGAGCTAACTGCCTAAGAATGTCTTCCTACCAAACTTGCTGCAACTGACTCTTCAAGCACTAGTTCCGAGTACTCGGGAACCGAGGATGAAATTGAAGAGGATGATGATGAAGGTCCAAGCTTCGAACCGGTAGTTGATCCACCCTCTTCCACCAGGGGGAACGCATGTCCTTCTCTCGGTGGAGATAATGTTTAGATTCTTTCTTCTTTTCTTTTCCTCCTTTCTTTTTGTATTTTTGTAATTATGTCATTTCGCATTTTGATAAATGAAGAAGATTTCTGCTTAAGTGTTGCGCAAAATATATATTTTTTGCGTCGAATTAGATAAGGCTTCGGGTGTATTTCCGTCTGATAGCTTCTTGTTCCAGGCATAAACTCTTCCGGAACCAACCCTTACTATGAGGGTTTCATAAGAGAAGGCCCTCTTATATTTACGGTGTTCTTAAAGAGAACATCTCTTGTTCATTCCGGCACAAATATTCGAAGTTTTTTGTTAACTTTCAAATGATAAAATTAACTCATCGTTTGGACAAGAAACAAGATAAATAAAAGGACTTTATTTAATTCCTTCTATCTTTAAAAGTACATAAGAATTTGTTTTCTAAAAAAAAAATGCTAATACATGTGGCTAGCTTGTACAACTTATTTTTTTGGGGCTAGCCATGCAGTCCCCTGTCCCGATGAGACATTATTGTTTCTTATTCTCGTAGTCCCCGATTTTTTTGGCAATCTTGTTGTCGAATCTTATACTAACCCTCCCCCCCCCCCCCCCCCCTTCAAATGCAAAACATGCTAATTGGAACAATGGAAGTTTTGCTTTGTTGGGTGAAAACTTGTGAATGGTTGAATAGTCTTTGGTTCGATGCCAGGCTTTGCTTAATGTTAGGAACTTGCCATCAAGGCAAAGATTATTTAACCATCCCGTAGTGCTTTATCATTTCAATGCCTTGTCATTTAAAGGTATTAACCTTGCCGATGACGCTCCTCTCGTAGTATATTTTCCGTTCCTACCTCGTTAAAAACTTTGCCAGAAAAATTTGATTGGGGCAAAAACTGGTTGAAGGAAAAAAGTGTGCAGCACATACTTTCAGTATTGGTAGGATCCATCAGCAGTAATACCTTTTGAGGTGAGTCACATTCCAATTGCTGGGCAATTTGACTCCATCTTGATTTTTCACCTCATATGATCCTTTACCGATGACAACTAAAATCTGGTAGGGGCCTTCCCATGTCGGACCCAGCTTCCCAGCATTGATTTCTCGAGTGCTCTGAGTCACCTTCCTCAAAACCAAGTCTCCTACTTTGAAGTAACGGAGATTGTCTCTCTAATTATAGTATCTCTCCATCCTTGGCTTTTGAGCCAACATCCTCACATATGCCAAGTCCCTGCGTTCATCAAGCATATCCAGCTTCACCAGCAAAGCTTCATTATTTTCCTCTTCGCTTACTCGGGAAAATTGTAAGGTTGGTTCCCATACTTCTATCGGGATTAGAGCTTCCACGCCATACACGAGAGAAAAAGGTGTCTCTCATGTACTCGATTTTGTCGTCGTTCGATATGCCCATAGCACACCCGGTAACTCTTCGGGCCATTTTCCTTTAGCAGCTTCTAACCTTTTTTTTGATTCTGGATAATCACCTTATTGGTTGACTCTGTATGTTCATTAGCGCTCGAATGATACAGTGAGGATGTAATCCTCTTGATTTTCAAATCTTCGAGAAATTTTATGACTTTGGAGCCTGTGAACTGTGGTCCGTTATCGCAGGCAATCCCCTTCGATTTTCTGAATCGGCAGATTATGTGTTCCCATAGGAAGTCGATCACTTCGTGCTCACCGATCTTTTTGCAAGGACCTACTTCAACCCATTTAGTGAAGTAATCGGTGGAAATTAAAAGGATTCTTACCTTTCTGGGACCTGGCGGGACGGACCAACTATACCCATCCCCCATTTCATGAATGGCCATGGGGACAGTACCGAATACAAGAGTTCCACTGGTTGGTATACCAACTACGCATAGTGCTGGCATTTGTCGCATTTATGAATGAACGTCTTTGCATCTTGTTCCATCCGAGGCCAGTAGTATCCTGCCCTAACAAACTTTAGTACCAATGAATTTGCACCGAAATGGTTCCCACATATTCCTTCATAGACCTCTCTCATCACGTAGTCCACCTTCGAGGCTCTTAAATATTGGGCCAACGGGCCTTGGTACGATCTCCTATATAATTTCCCATCCACAAGGCAGTAATGAGTCTCCTTGGTGCGTAATGCCTGGGATGCCTTCGGGTCTTCGAGCAATTTTTCATGCCAAAGATATTCGATGAACTCATTCCTTCAATCCCAGACTAGGTTGGTTGTGTTCACTTCAAAATAGCCATCCACATCCAATACCGAAAGTAGAAGTTGAACCATAGTACCGGATTCAGATCCTTTCATCTCCGTAGATGACCCAAAATTAGCCAATGCATCTGCTTCCACGTTCTCTTCTCTTTGAATGTGTGTGATCGACCACTCCCTGAATCGTGCAAGCAATGCATGAACTATTCACATACTGTTGCATGTGTTCCTCCTTTGTGTCGAAATCCCATACACTTGGTTTAATACTAGCTGGGAATCACATTTGATCTCTATGACCTCGGAGACAAGTCCCCGGGCTAGTTCGAGCCCTGCTACCAAAGCCTCATACTCAGCTTCATTGTTAGTTAATGGAACAGTCTTAATGGTATGCCTCAGGGTTTTTCCCAAGGGCGTGATTAGAACCACCCCAAGCCCGGAACCTTTTACATTGGAAGCTCCATTCATAAACAAGGTCCAAACTCTTGATGTCGTTTCTGACACCAGCATCGCTTCTTTAGCAGCTACGGGCATTAACCCGAGGCTGAAATTGGCCAAAAAGTCGGCAAAAACCTATGACTTGATTGCAGTCCTGGGTTTGTACTCAAAGTTAAGTTCACTAATCTTGACTTCCCATTTAGTCAACCGGCCTAACAACTCAGGCTTGTGAAGAACATTCCGCAAGGGGAAGGTTGTCACAACGGCTATCGGGTGGCACTGAAAATAATGCCTAAGCTTTCGAGAGGTGACTATGAGAGATAAGGCCAACTTTTCGAGGTGCGGAAAGTGAGTCTCCGCTCCTGACAAGATTTTACTAACATAATAGATAGGGAATTTTGTACTTTCGTTCTCACGGACTAAAATGGCAGTTATCGCTACTTTCGAGACCGCTAGATATAACAGCAATTGTTTGCCTTCCCCCAGTTTTGATAGTAGCAGAGGGCTTAATAGGTAGCATTTCAGGTCTTTCAAGGCCTGCTGACATTCCGGAGTCCATTTGAAATTGTTCTTATTCTTCAGAAGTAAGAAGAAGTGATGACATTTGTTTGAGGATCGGGAGATGAACCTACTTAAATTAGCCAATCTTCCGGTTAGTTTCTGTACTTCTTTTACGCTCGTTAGTTGGTCCGGAATGTCTTTGATGGCTTTGATTTTTTTGGGATTTACATCGATCCCTCTCTGTAAGAGCAAGAATCCCAAAAACTTACTGGAGCCAACCCCGAAAGGCATATTTTTTGGGTTAAGCTTCATGTTATGCTTTCTCAAGATGTTGAAGGTTTCTTGGGGGTGTTTCAAATGATCACTTGCATTCAAAGACTTGGCTAACATCTCATCGATATATACTTCCATTGTTTTTACTATTTGCTTCTCGAACATCTTGTTCACGAGCCTCTGATAGGTGGCTCCGGCATTTTTAAGCCCAAATGGCATCACATTATAACAATATATGCCGAAGTTCGTTATGAATGAGGTTTTTTCCTGATCCTTCGGTTTCATCTTGATTTGATTGTACCCGGGGTAGGCATCAAGAAAACTCATTAACTCGTGCTCGGTCATAGCATCAATCATTTGATCAATGTTTGGCAATGGGAACGAGTATTTAGGGGCATACCTTATTTAAGTCCTTGTAATCTACGCACATTCTAAACTTGTTATTCTTCTTTGGAACTATAACTACATTAGCTAACCATTCAGGATACTTAACCTCCTGGATTGAACCGATGACGAGTAGCCGAGTTACCTCTTCTTTAATAAATCTATTTCTGATCTTGACTATTGGGTGTTTTTTTTGCCTCTCCGGTGGAAAGTTTGGGTCCAAGCTTAGCTTGTGCATGGCAACATCTGATGGGATACCTGTCATATCCGAGTGTGACCATGCAAAATAATCAATGTTAGCTTTAAGGAAATTAATAAATCCTGACCTGAGTACGGGATTGAGTCTTGTTCTCTTGTGAAACTTCCTTTCCAAGAATTCCTATAACAAAGCCACTTGCTTGAGTTCCTCTGCATTGGACTTGGTTGCATCTGTCTCCTCTAGTACCTGAAAGTATCTCGGCACGTGGTGGAATTCCGACGACTCCTCGCCTTTGTATTCATTGGTCAGGGGAGAAGGCGTCGGTTCTGGTAATTGCTATTTGCTGGGCTCCTTCCCTTTGCTACTGGAAATTGACATTTCGTCATTTCTCTTGATGCTAGTTGATCACCTTTTATCTGCTTGATTCATTCTAGGGTCGGAAATTTCAACAATTGATGATATGTTGAGGGAATGGCCTTCATGTCATGTAACCATGGCCTTCCGAGGATTATGTTGTAGCCTATGTCGCCATCTACCACTTCAAATAAGGTGCTTTTAGTTACCCCTTTAGCATTCGTGGGCAGCAGGATCTCTCCTCGGGTTGTCACACTTGCCAAGTTGAACCCGGTGAGGAGCTTTGTTGCCAGAATGATGCTTCCGGTTAACTTTGCTTGTTCCAGTACTCTCCATTGAATAATGTTGGTTGAGCTTCCTGGGTCAACCAAAATACCCTTATTTTTTAAATCTAAGACATTGAGAGAGATTACATGAGCATCGTTATGCGGAAGAAGAAGTCTGTCAGCGTCTTCCTCCGTGAAGGTGATATCATCTTCGGCGAATTCTCGGAGTCTCTTGCTGTGAGTCACTGAAACCTTTGTCTTCTTGGATGCTGAGAAGGTTACACCGTTGATTTCATTCCCTCTAAAAATCATGTTGATAGTCAACCGAGGAGGATCTTCTGCTATCTTCGAGGGCTCCGTATTATCTCAGCTACAGCCATAATTATTCTTGGTCCGGTCGCTCAATAACTCCCTGAGATGGCCGTTCTTCAACAACGTCGCTACCTCTTCGCGCAGATGCCGGCAGTCCCTAGTTTCGTGGTCGTGAGTCCCATAATATTCGCACCATAAGTTAGGATCCCTCTGGCTAGGATCGGATCTGATTGGCTTCAGGAACTGTGCTTCTTTGATATTCTTCATCGCCGATACCAACTCCACTACGCTGATGGTGAAATTGTAATCTGACAACCTAGGATATGCGAAATCCTGGGTCCCCGGTACCTCTTTTTCTTGCAAAGATCTGTTGTTTCGGTCACTATCAGTTCTTCTGTCGGGAGCGAACCTATCCGAGGACTGGAACCCTTTGTTGCCGCATCCTTCGGTTCTCTCGTATGGCAAGAAGCGGCCTTTAGAAGATTGTCGGTCCGCATCAAAATCACCTTTGAACTTATCATGGTTCTTGTCTCAGTCCCGTCCCTTGGTTGATGTCGGAAACCCGAGCCGATCGTCTTCTATCCTTATTTTCGACTCATAGCGGTTATGTACATCCGCCCATGTAGTGGCTTGGAATTCGAGCAGGCTTTCCTTCAGCTTTCGGAAGGCATCGGAGCTCCTCGAATTTGTATATGTATTTTTTAAACAAAGATCAACCCTAGTCAAAATTTACTTTTTCTCTTTCTCAGTCGGCTCTCTTCTCTCACCCACGCTCACCTCTTTCTTCTTTTTTATCTCCCTCTATTTTCTTTCTCTTTTATTTTCTCTTTACCAAATCTCCTTCAAAGGTGTTAAGATTTCAACCATAAGATCCAAACAACATTAGGATCAAACCGCAAATATTAATTTGTGCTAATATCAACAAAATCAAAGAGACCAATTTCGAATTTATTCAAGTTTTTTAAGGTCTCCAATGGTGTTTTCTACCTCCTTCAACAAGATAAATTTCAGACTACAATATCATATTTGATTCGAAACACATCTCTCATTACCTAATTTCGTCTTTTTCCTAACCCTACTCTTTTTAAGGTGATAATATTTTCTGGAACTTTTATATATCTATGCTGCCATTATAATTTTTTCTTACTCATATTAGAGAGGTTACCGCTTAATTATATTTCATATACATATTTTTTATTTGTATATAAATAAATATATAAGACTCCAATCTTCACTATTTTCTCTCCATCTTCTTCTTCCCCCAAATCCAAACATGGACGCTTCAAACCCAATCTATTTATTCTTATTTCTCAATTGCTTATGCGTCGCTAATAAGAAATCACAATTCTACTCTTTTAATATCGAACTTTTGGTAATCAGACTTCAAAACTTCAAACAAATCATTCAAACTTAATCGATGGGCCTTTAACTAGAAAAAATCTTAGCCTCTGGCAGTTGAGATTTTCAAATACCAAAAGGAATCTGCCAACAAAATCTATTCGTCTAATGGAAACCTTCTTTCTCATGATTAAAGATGGTTGTAATTAACTATTACAAAGCTGTAGACTCCATTAAAAACTCAATTGACAGTCGTTAAAAAGCTTGGTAGCTTTGAATTCAAAAATCGGATTTTACGAAATTGTTTGGATTTGGTGTTATTGCAAATGATTGGGAATATCCTTTGGAGTTTATATGTCAATTCGAGAAAATTTGGTGAAGATTCGTGTTGGTTTTTGGTTGGAATTTCATATTGAAAATCGAATTAGGAGACATAAATAAATTGTATGCAAAATGTATGTCGTGTGTACAAAGACATATAAAATATATACAACTAATATAAATTGTATACAAGTTATATGCAAGTTGTATGTATTTGTCCGGATTCTGTATAATAAAAAATTATTTGCAAGTTGTACATAAGTTGTATGTAAATTATAGCTTTTGACCGAATTTTGTATAGTAAAAAGTTATTTACAAGTTGTATATAAATTATGAGCCCGTTTGGATTAGCTGATTCGAAGTAGCTGATAAGCATTAGGTGCTGAAAAGCACTTTTAAATGCTGAAACTGATTTAATAAATAAGCAGTTACGTGTTTGGATACAAGTGCTGAAATTGATAATAAGCTGCTGCAGTATTAGATAAAAAATTGCTGCTAAACTCTTTTTCTGTTAAGATGATTTAAATAACCTTAGAACTGTTTACATTGGGCGGAGTCTTTTTAAAATTTTAGATTCCAAATCGATTCAAATACAAAATATTCTATTTGTCATTTTATTTTAAATACAATTGCGATTTGATAAGATGATTTTTATGATAAATATAAGTTATTTTATAATAAGCATATAATCATAAGTTATAATAATTAATAAATTGATAAAAGTTTCTCAGTAAAAAAATAAACCTAAATAAGACAAAATATTTGAAGAGAAACAAACATTATCTTCATCATCACAACGCTTAAAATGCAATACACCAAAAATTTGATATGTCCTCATTTATTACATACAGTTCAAAGATTAATACACAATCACATAGATAAAAATATGCAAAGGAATAGAGAATTTGCTTACCTTAAATAGTCAATGAGAATTGCAGACTTGAAGAGGCGAGGGGTTTAGGTTAAAAAAATATAGGAGGCAGTGAATATCGATGTAGGAGTTTTGTTCTAAAAAGGAATATTTTAGAGATAAAATAATAAAAAATTTGGTCAAACTTAAAGTGTTTATAAGCTAAAAGTTCATAAGCTGGAGGTGACCAGCTTATGACTTTTGACTTATTTTAGACTTATAAGCACTTGGCTTATAAGCGCTTTTAACTTAACCAAACGCGTAGATAATCCGAAAAATGCTTATAAGCTGGTTTAACCAGCTTATAAGCTTAGCCAAACACCCTCTATATAGGTGGACCGATTTTGTATATATTTTGTCAAAAAATCTAGTTACTTTTTGTAAATAGAAAAACTTAGCTACACTGGAAAAGCATTATCCTAATTTTATCTATAGGAGAAAATTCCTTATTTTCTTGAAAGCAAATCAGTAGATGTTGTATTGGCCCAAGTGACCCACATTTCATGTGATAATGCATATTCTAAATTATAGATTCTAAAGAGAACTTGAACATAGAATTACTATTTGGTTTTGATTTTTTTATTGAATTTTTTTTTTTTTTTACCATTCCAACTGGAAAAAGGTATCTAAAATAACAAACTAATAAAAACAGAAAAACTCTAATAAAACCTTCAGAATGTTGCCCATTACTCTATGTTTCTAATTTTTTTCTTTTCTCTCATTTCTTGTCGATACAGTCGAACTTTTAGATGTAATGGTGGATGAATGACGGTTATGTAGTAGATTTATATAACAAGTGTATCCATTCTGTATAATAGTATATAACGACATGTTATACACTGTTATATAACATAGATACGTTATTTATATATGGTTATACAAAACATATAGTATATTAATTATAGCATGTATATATAATGTATATGTAATGTATAAGGATGTATATGTAATATATAATAGTATATAAAAATGTACATACATTGTTATACATCATGTTATATAGATTTGAAAGATGGAAAATGAAAAATGAAGAAGAATTTGCGGTAGCTCGGTGAAGAAGGTAAAAAAAAATAACATAGAAAGATGTTTGGCTTGTTAAAATTTAATATAAGCATATGTTGGTTAGTTCAAACGTAAATATTTATAGTGCTATGCAGTTATAAATCAAAAAATTGCACTAGTTATCCCAAAGAGACTGGTCTTTAAATATTGTCCTTGGTTTTAACTTTGTTACAAAAATAGGCTTCTTCTTCGCCAAGAACATCATAGTTCTTTAATATTGGAAGCTTTAGATTCTTGTTTGGGGTAGAAACTGAAAGTTACTCATCGATTATTGTTAAAATTATTTGAATGTTGATAATTTGTGAGTAAATTTTTAGTTTAAACGTGGGTCAATTGTAGTGTTTGAACAATTTAGCATATAGGTCAATTGTAGATAACACAAAGTCATTCCAATCTGGTAGAATTTGGTGAAATTGATCAAGCACAAAATCATGCCAACTAGGCCGAGTTTGTGAACAATCTAACAAATAGGTCGAATGCAGTTAACACAAAGCAATGCCAATATGATAGAGTTTGGTGAATAATTGAACAATCATAAAGTCATGCCAACCAAGTAAACCTTGTGAACAATGAATAATATAGGTAGAGTAAATATAGCACAAAATCTATTAATCCGGTAAAAAAATCTCTGACAAGCAATAAGTGTGTGTGGGACATCATTTTCTAAATACTTTAAAAAACGGAGGCAATATTTAAACACCAACCCTTTTGTAATCATTCCGGTCAATATCCTTTTAAATTGTTTGATCCCCAAATAACAATTTCAGGTTCAAGCTCTAGAATGGAGAACTTTTTGATATATTACTCCTTAATGGGTTCACTCAGCCGGAATTCAAAATAGTCAGACCAACGAGTTCCGAATACGCGATGGTTAAACAAAAAAAAAACATTAGGTGAAATCTTGAATGATGGGAAAACGTGAATTATAAGGAGTTGCGAACTTACCAACTTTCCAAGTCCCAACTTGAAGTATAAGGAGTTGCCAACTTTACAATTTTACTTTTAGTTTGACTTCCAATTGATTCCCATAAGTGATGCTAGTCACTACATAAAACATTGGGCAATCTATACCAGTCTTCAGCATAACGCTCTTTCTTTTCATGCTTTCACCAAATTATCATGTTTTCCATTATTTTTTTACAACACGTTTTACCAATTATGGTATCCATTTTTTCCACTGGGCAATTTGTAGGCAACTCTAATATTACTTTGTGGTTTGTACTATCGGAATAGCCATCAAAGAACGGTCCATAGTAGTGACTAGCCAGCAATCAAAACGTTTCTCTCCAGGAACCACAATGAAAACAAGGGATTACTCTTTTTCATTTTTAAATTTTGGAAAAATGAATGTGCTAACTGCGAAATAAACTTTATAATGATAACTTTTCTGATCCAAGGATACAATGACCCACATTTGGGTGCTAACTACTCAGGAAGAACGGAATAGAAACAAGAGAAGAAAAAAAAAATCAAAACACATGTACACATGCTACATCAAATAAAACTTTATCTAAGGAATTGCATGAATGAGGCAAGCGTCTACTCCAAAGTCTTCAGAAGCCTAAACAGCCCCGCGGCCTCTCTAATCCTTGAGAACTCAATACAAAATGCTTGTACTTCAATGAAGAGATCATGG